TTGTAATAAAAAAGAATAAAAAATCTTAAAGGCTAAAAAGATGTGAAAAGACGTGCTTTTATTGATTCAAAAACAAATGTGTTGACTGAAAACCAACTCTATTTAAAAATCATAAAACTAAATTTACATTATTTTTTAAAACTTGTCTAGCTCCATTCAAGACTTCTTACTTATGTTTTAAAATTTTCAGATTGTCAACAAAAATTACACATTAGGCCTAATTAATTAATTGAAATTATAAATAAAATAAAAAAAAACTACTCATATTTCATATAAAGAGAAAAACTTGGGCCTAATTTTCTTTCTATTTTTTTCGGGCCTAGGGCGGTCACTCCTACTGCCCTACCCCTAGGACCGGCCCTTCATGTAAGTTACTACGATGCAAACTTTAAACACAATATAGTCACTAATAATTACTAAACAATATTTTTGTTCATAACTATTTTATTAGTATTATTTAAGGAAAACCGCATTTAAAATTTTTTAATTAAACTTAACAAGTATTGGATGCTTAGTATATAAATAATATACTCTAGAGTAATTATTTTTTAAGAACATTCTTGTCATGTATATTTTTTTACGTTGGCCCGCGGGACAACCCATTTAACCCACCGATTAGATAAGTTGGGTTGGGTTGTAGAAATTCTGGTCCGTCATTAAACGGGTTAACCCCACCCAACTCACATAAAGCATAACCCGTTACGACTCGGGTTGGTCCGGGTTGACCCGTTTGACAGCTCTACCTGCTTGGCTAGTCTTAGGTCGAAACCAGTTACATTCTGGTTTGATTATGGTCCCACAAGCTGTTTTGTATTTTTGCTATGGGGAGTCATTTGTTGGTCAACAAACAAATGTTACATCATTCTTTCTCGTTTTTTAGCTACATTCTGTAATATTTTGATTTTTCAGTAGATCTTCATTACCATTACGACCACAGCTACAACAGTAAGAAGTAAAAACTGGCTGTGCAAAAAAAGAGGGTTACAATCATACAGATCTCATTGGTGATAATTCTGAGAACGGTGGGATCGTGGGATAAAAAAGTCCATGGAGATGCCGAACCCTAGTTAGCTTTTTTGCGTTTTAAACGCGTTTTAAATATCTGCCATTTTTTGAACAAAAAAACACGTTTAAAACGAAAAATAATGTCGGTCCGTATAAAAAGGAAAAAATCCTACTTCCCATATAAAACGTATTTTTTTAACATTTTGTACAAAAAATAGAAATATAAATTGATCAATTCAATGAACGCATTAAATACATATGAGATCAACAATAGTTCAAAAGCAAAAAAGAAAAGCTCATTCTCGTGACCCCATGCTTTTGTATTGTTACAATACAATGGAGTACTAAATACTAAAATTAATTGCATGGTGGCTAAGAAGTTGTTCTGTTCGTCTTATTCTTACTCCCTCCGTCCCTAATAACTTTGCCAAGTTTGACCAGCACGGGGATTAATAAAGTAAAAACTGTGTGGTTGAGGTTTGTGCATAGGAGAGGGAATTAACTGAAACCACAAATTCTTTACTTAAAAAAGAAAGTGACAAAGTTAAAGGGATATCCGAAAAAGGAAAGTTGACAAAGTTATAAGAGACGGATGGGGTATTACTTATTGCTTATTTCTTATTTTATTCAGATCAAATCATATCAGAAAAATTCAGATCGGATCTGATCAGAAAGATTCATATCAGATCAGATCAGAAACATTCAGATCAGATCAGAAGCATTCAGATCAGATCAGAAACATGCAGATCAGATCAGAAATTATTATTATTATTATTATTGTTGTTGTTATTGTTATTATTATTGTTGTTGTTATTATTATTATTATTATTATTATATACCGGTTTAGAAAGTTAAGATCAGATCAGAAGGATTTAGATCAGATCAGATCAGAAGCATTCATATTAGATCAGACAGATTCAGATCATACAAGAAAGATTCAGATCATATCAGATCAGAAAAATTCAGATCATATCAGATCTTAAAAAATTCAGATCAGAAACATTTAGATCAAACGAAGAGAACCGCTTCTAACGCTAGATTTCTGATGTTTTTTCAAAGAAGCAAATCAATATTAAAGTTTTTTTAAACCTCACATTTTTTTAGTATAATCTTTTACACACAGGTCCGAACCTCTACGTGAGGCAAAGAGGCAACTGCCTCAGGCCCACAAATTTGGGAAAAAAATTAGGGCCCCAAAAATTTATTAGTTACCTTTATATAGAGGAAAGTTCATGTCCGGAATTTCGGACAGGAAATACCACCTTTGGCTGCCTTTTCTGTGAAATTGTTTGATGAAATTTTTATGACATGTTCCTTATCAAGTCTAGTTTATCCACAAACAAATTCAGCTTAAAATTTAATCGGGAATACCGTCAAATAATTTTTGGAACTTAACTGCAATTTATGTGTATATTTTGGCCTAGTTATCTTTAAAAAACCATTTGACGACCTTCCCGATTGAATTTTTAGCTGACATTTTTTGTGAATAAACTAGACTTGATGAAAAACATGAAATAAAAATTTCATCAAAAAAATCCTCTGGGAAGGCGCCCAAACGCCGTTGTCCGGATGGCGGTTCCTCTCAGGAATTCCGGACATGAACTTTCCACCCCAAAAAATCTTGAGGGCCTTTTTTTACAGCTCGACTCAGACAAAAAAACTCTTAGGATCGGCCCTGTTTACACATAAACAATAATTAGTGCGCATAGTAGTTGCACAACTTTTCTCATATGTCATCCGTCATCTTGATGAAAATGATGAGTTTAAGTCGAGTATATTTGATGATCATATAAAGATAATGATTTTAACTTAGTCTCATTCTATTGTTATTATGCCTTATTTGTTGACATTAGTTTGCAAAATTATGTCTTGGAGTTGATAACTATTTTTATATTTGTCATCGACTTATGCTATTACGAATTATTATTTTATGTAGTCATGGAATTTGCTACTTGAATATGTGTATACTTTTATTTCTTTTTACTATATATATTATTTTGTAAAGTATATAACTTAAATGTACATAATAATACACCTATTTTTTGTCCGATTTTTTATAACACATATCGTATTATACATGTATACGTATTTACACGTTTTTTAAAAAGTCAACGTTTTTTCAACGATTTTTTGACCGTTGTTTTCATAATGTTACCGAATAAACCGTATTTACCGAATATACGTATACGTATACATATTAAACATCGTTTAATTCTCATACCGTATTTAACCAACTATGTGCAAAAGTGCACTTATAAACTCGGGCGCAAATTATGGCTTACATGATATATCTAAATATTTTTACTTGTCTCAAGTTACATTGATGGCAAGTAATGATTTCCAACAAATTTAAAGAAAGAATTTCTAACCGGAGACAACACTGAGGTAGGGGCGGATTGCACCAGGGTGTGCAGTTGGGTAGGAATTACAAATAGAAAAAATGCACTCATATATTAATAAACAAATAGTAATTACATTTTGGAAAATAAAAACTAATCATATTTTTATCTTCCAAAAATGTAGGTAATTTTGTAGTCATTCTTTCAACTTAAATGAGTACGGACTACATATATAACATTATAGATATGCTCATTGATATAACATTACTAAATACGCACGACAAAGATTTCAAAGGAGCATACAGTAATGAATATACTTAAATAAATAAATTTATTTGTAATAAATATTATATACAAGTGTGTTTGTGTGTGTGTGTGTGTATATATATATATATATATTTGGTTTTTGTTTTTTAGGAAGTGTGTGTGTGTGTGTGTGTATATATATAGGGAAGAATTCAAATAAAAAGACCTCTTATCGTGCAAAGTGCGAAGATATGCACTTTTGCATGTTTCGCTTGAACTTTTTCATGTTTCTGTTGCACTTTTTCGTGGTGGCGAAAAAGTGTGGTTTATTTACAAAATTGTCACAGCGATTTTGGTCGAGTTTGGTGCATTTTTGGCTCATTTTGAGCCAATAGATGTGGAAATGAATGCACAAGATTATTTTCACTTTGCATGGGAAGAGCTCTTTGTATTTGAACCATCCCCTGTATATATAGTCCATTTCCTGTCCGGCCGGTCTGGACAGGAGCCCCGTCCGGCCTCCGTTGTTTGGGGCGGTTCCCGGTAGGGGTGGACTCGGGTCCGGGTCGGGCCTAGGCCCGGGTAGCCACCGAGTCCGGGCCGGGCCGGGCTGGTCCTCCGGTTTGGATTTTTTTTTTGCTTTCCTAACCCCCCCCCCTCCCCCCTCACCCCCACCCTCCCAAATCCCCCACACTCATCCTACCCATCAAGCCCAACCCGGGTGGAACCCACAAAATGAAAAAAAAAAATCAATTTGGCCCGAGCCCGGGCCCGACCCGGCCGGGCCGGTTCACCAAATTTGAGACCCGAGCCCGGACCCGCCCTACCCCCGGGCCTAGGCCTGACCCAGACCCGTACCCGAGAACCGGGCCGGTCCCAGTCCCGCACAGTAGCGGGCCGGGCCGGTCCCAGTCCCGAGACCAACCATAGTTCCCGGTGGTATTTTTTGCTGAATTTTTTTATTATGTTCTTCATCAAGTCTAGTTCATCCATACCAAATTTGAGCAAAAAATTCAATCGGGAAGGTTGTCAAATGAATTCTGAAAGATAACTGCGCCGGAATATACATATAAAAAGCAGTTATCTTGAAAAAAAACATTTGGCAACCTTCCCAATTGAACTTTTTGCTCAAATTTGGTATGGATGAACTAGACTTGATGAAGAACATACACAAAAAATTTCAGCAAAACATACCATCGAGAACCATCCCAAATTGGGGTGGCCGGACGACATGCTGTTCGAACTGATCGGACAGGAACTTTTGTCTGTGTGACTGTGTGTGTTTGTGTATGATTTATAGAAATGAGTTTGGATTGTACTTAGATAAATATAGCATTTAAAATAAATGTGTATGATCAAACTTGTGAAAAGCGTAAAAAAGCGCTGAAAAGCGCCAAAGCGCAAGCGAGCGCCAAAGCTGCGCCTTGCTTTTGAGAAGCGCCGCGCCATGAGCGCGGGCGAGCACAGTATGATATGATATTATAAATGAAAAGGTTCACATGAATAATACCATCTATTCACGTTCTTCTATTATTAATCTGAAATACATCGTAATTCTAAATGTCTCAAAATTCATATGTGGTCTTCCGTCATTGATCCGGGTTACCTACAACTTTCTAAATTGGTAAAAAACCCGAATCTGAATCGACTTTGTTCATCCTCATATCATCTTCACTCTCCATCTATGGAGAAGACATGGAAGAATCGTTCATCTTCCTCTTCACATTTCATCTTTAACCGCAATAGTAGTTGAATCGACACGGAAAGGGAGGTGTTGCTGGCACTTTCATCTCACTATTGAATTAAGGCGGCGGCCGAAAATATGGTGGGCACCTTCGCTGCTTCAAATCATCTCTCTCGTGGAAAGAGAATGGAAGAACATCCTGCTTTTGGTGTCAACGAATATGGTGACGAAGGAGGTCCTCTACTTCTGCTTCTAATGTAACGGTCGAATGGAGGTCCACACTCCACATTGGAATAATATTCCTCCGGGCTCCGATCGAGTTATCTTACAACTGCTCCCAGTTTTTTCTTCAGTCTATCCTTTTAGTTGTTATAACTGGAGTTGTAGAAAAAATTAAGAAGAATGGACAGAAGAGGAGATCCAATGAAAGAGAAGAAGAATAAAGGAAGAAGAAATAGTGTGAGATACTCGGTCATATTTGGGATTAATTATGGAAGAACTGAGACAGTTAAATTTTTCATATAATAAATGAGCACAACAATGATTTCAAATGAGTCTACATTGTGAATATAACTTAAAAGAAATGTACATCGGTATAACATTATAAAAAACACAATAAAGTTGATATAATTATGAAATATTTTTCTTAATAAGCTCTTTGGTTTCTTATTACAAAAACTAATAATTAAGTAAAAAAACCTAATTATATGTAGTTGGTTTGAAAGGCATATATATTACGTGTATGATTTATTAAAATGAGTTTTATGTTACGCCAAACGAGTATAATGTTACAAGGAATGTGCATTGATATGAAATTTTAAAATAAACACAACATAAGTATCAAATGACAATACGTTAATTGTAAAATGAGCATGTAAAAATGAAATTTTTTAAAAAATCATTTATATTCGGATGTATGGCGCTCACCGTACACGCGGGTGTACAATATACGAACTCTATGCCAGAGACAGCAAATTAAGTGAGCATCTGCAGAATCAAAGTTGAGAGAGAAATTTGCCATTGATGTAATCAACAACTCGAATGGCTGCTTCAGCGAGTGCAGCAGTTACTGCAGTTAAATTTTCCAGATACTCTTCGGATGTCGGTTTATCACCATCCACTATATCAGTCACAGCTTTTAGATAAATTGCAGGCACTTTCATAAGATCTGCAACATAAGCAATGGCAGCTCCCTGCGAACAAAGTCAATGTGCCAATCTTAACCCTTCCAATGCTGCTAATAATTCCTAAATCCAAAATCATTGGCCTAAACATACACTTATATAGCTGCATTAGTTACCTCCATGTCTTTAAGGGACGCCCCATTCATAATGATGGATGATTCATCAGCAGGTGCCATATCTAGAGAATCACCAGTAGACAACTTACCAACCTGAAATGTGTACACCACACGACTTAATGATGTTAAACAAATGTTGTCAAGCATGCCACAAACACTGCTGAAGAATAGCCACCTTCATATTTAACTCCTTCACAAGATTGGGTGTCTGGAAAGCCTGACGCAATCCAACTCCATATAAATCAAATACCTGCAGGTATTAAAATAGACATTACCCACTATTCCACTAACAAAGATATAATCTTAAATAAATACCTACCTCTCTATGTGGTTTGAGGATACTGCTCAACAACAGAGAGTAGTGTTAGAACTATTCTTGAAAAAAATCCTACCTCTCTGTGTGGTTGTAAGGAACCTCACGTTGTATTCAAAGAGACGGGTACTGCTCAGCAGAACATGATTCTCAACACTACGCTAAGTTATTTCCTTCCTGTTCTACAGAGGAGTAGGAAGTTACCTTCATGTTCTAACGTGAAAGAAAGATAAATCCTTATCATTACCCACATCATGGTCAAAGCATTATCCTAAAGAGGTGGTCAGTAAGATTCTCAAAACCATAACCTAGAATAGATCAGGAATTTACCGGGATGGGTATTCTTCTGTCATGGAATGCAGCGTCTGAGACAATAAACACATCTCCTATGGAAGCACCTTTTGCCTGGACAAGTATTATAATCAATAACAAATATACACATGAAAAATATATCATGAAAACAACATCTTTTGGACAACTAAAAGGCTATTATCAGACAGACCGGGGTCAGAGTTCCAAAGACAAAGCCCATATAACTTCACCTTAAATCCGCCTGCTGTTCCAGCATTTATTATTAGGTCAGGCTGTAATGCTTGGATAGAAGCATATGTCACAAGAGATGCAGAAACGGTGCCTACACAGTCTACCCCTGACAAAAATGATTGTTCACAGAATTGGCATTAGAAAATGCATGACAAAACAGCTCAACAGCAACTGCATAGAGGTAGAGATTAAGATATTGTTAGAGTGCTGTGACTGAGAACGAGTCCAGGGACGACTTGGGGTAGCAGGGTACCCAGTTGAGGTCGTAACCTGCCTGCTAGGGTTACCCCTTGTTGAAAGAATTAAAGATAGAATAGTAATGAGAAGAATGATTTTTGTGTATCTTTCATTGGAGGGTCAAGCCCATATATATATACATTACAAAGATAGAATATTCCTTTAAGATTCTATACAATAATAATATCCTAGAGTATATTCCTAAAATATTCTAAAGCATATTCTAAAGATAGAAGAATATTCTAAAACATATTCTAAAGAATGTTCTATATTGTCTTTCACACTCCTCAAGTTGGAGCATAAATATTTATCATGCCCAACTTGTTACATAAGTAACCAACACGAAATCCATTTAGTGCTTTAGTGAACAAATCTCCAAGTTGCTCTCCAGTCTTCACATATCCTGTAGAGATCAATCTTTGTTGTATCTTTTCTCGAACAAAGTGACAATCGATCTCAATATGTTTTGTTCTCTCATGAAACACTGGATTGTTGGCAATGTGTATAGCAGCTTTGTTATCACACCAGAGTTTAGCAGGCATTGGTGTCTTCAATCCCATTTCACTCAATAAATGGTTTATCCAGATTATCTCACATGCCGATTGTACCATAGCCCGATATTCTGATTCAGCACTCGAACGAGAAACCACATTCTGCTTCTTACTTTTCCAAGAGACGAGATTACCACCAACAAAGACGCAATAGCCAGATGTGGATCTTCTATCATCTTTAGATCCAGCCCAATCAGCATCTGCAAAGCATTCTATTCTCATGTGATTATGATTCTGATAAACAATACCTCGTCTCGGTGTCCCTTCAAGTAGCATAATATATGCTCTACAGCATTCCAATGATCAACTGTCGGAGATGACATGTATTGACTTACTACACTCACTGAGTATGCAATATCTGGACGGGTAACTGCGAGATAATTAAGTTTTCCAACCAACTGTCTATATCTTTCCGGATCTTCGAATGGCATACCTTCATGAGTGAGTTGTACATTGGGAATCATGGGAGTACTGCTTGGTTTTGCCCCCAATTTCCCTGTTTCAGTTAGTAAGTCAAGCACATATTTACGTTGAGATAGAAATATGCCTTTCTTACTCCGTGTAACCTCAATTCCCAAGAAGTATTTCAATGAGCCCAAATCTTTCGTCTGGAATTGACTATGAAGAAAATTCTTTAGGGCCAAAATACCTGCATTATCACTCCCTTTAATCACAATGTCATCGACATACACCACAAGCAATGTAATACCTGTTTTCGTTCGTCTGTAAAATACAGAGTGATCTGATTTGCCTTTTATCATCCCAAATCGTTCAATTGATTGGCTGAATTTTCCGAACCATGCACGGGGACTCTGTTTCAAACCATAAAGAGACTTACGAAGTCGACAAACTTTCCCATACTCCCCCTGAGCAACAAACCCCGAAGGTTGCTCAATATAAACTTCCTCCTGAAGATCACCATGCAAGAATGCATTCTTAATGTCCAATTGATGTAAGTGCCAACCATGAGTTGCTGCGAGAGAAATAAGTAATCTGACTGATGTTAATTTAGGAACAGGAGAAAATGTGTCAGAATAATCAACGCCATAGGTTTGAGCATACCCTTCGCAACTAATCGGGCTTTCAACCGAGCAACGGATCTGTCAGGGTTAACCTTTACAGCAAAGACCCACTTACATCCTATAGACTTCTTCCCTGTAGGCAAGTCTACCAAATCCCAGGTACCATTAAGATCCAAAGCATTCATTTCCTCTACCATGGCATGAATCCAATCAGGATGAGACAAAGCATCTTTAACAGATTTGGGAACAGAAATAGAATCAATGGAAGCAATAAAAGAACATGAGACAGATGATAACTGATTATACGACACGCATGAAGAAATAGGATGAGTACAAGACCGTGTACCTTTACGTAGTGCGATGGGGAGATCAAGATCTGATGTAGAGACAAGATCTGAAGATGCAGGTGTCGGTTCAGGATATGAGATCGGATCAGTATCAGGAGAAGTAACCACAGGTGGAGGGTGATCTTGCACTTTGTGTCGACAGGTGTATACCAAGTGTATCGGAGGCCTAGGCTCAGGAAAAGTAACATGGGGAAGAACTGCTGAAGAATTGGGCTCGGGTATAGTGACTGTGTAAATGAGTATATCATCATTCTCCCTACAGAGATTTGTGTCTGTTGATGAAAATGGTGTATTTTCATAAAAGGAGACATCAATTGAAACAATATGCCGACCTGTACTTGGAGAAAAACATCTGTACCCCTTTTGAACTCGAGAGTAGCCTAAGAAAATGCACTTTAATGACTTGGGATCTAACTTTGTTAAATGGGGATTAACATCTCGTACAAAACAAGTGCAACCAAAAACTTTAGGAGGAATAGGAAAATTTTCATTATTTGGAAATAGGCAATGATATGGAGTTTTACCATCTAAAACAGTAGATGGCATTCGATTGATCAAAAAACATGCGGTAGACACGGCATCCGCCCAAAAATGTTTTGGCACATTCATTTGGAATAGAAGAGCCCGCGCAGTTTCTAATAGATGTTTGTTCTTTCGTTCAGCAATTCCATTTTGGGGAGGTGTGTCTACACATGAAGTTTGATGAATTATGCCATGTTGAGCCATATACAACTTAAATGAGGCAGACAAATATTCTTGAGCATTGTCTCCCCTTAAAATACGAACATGTACATTAAATTGAGTTTTGATTTCAGCACAAAAGGCACAAAAATGAGAAAATAACTCGGAACGACGTTTCATGAAATAAATCCAAGTCATACGAGAATAATCATCAACAAAGGTAACAAAATATTTAAAACCAGATTTGGACACACAGGGCAAGCACCCCAAACATCAGAATGAACCAGTTCAAAAGGAGCATGTGCTCGTTTATTGACTCGAGGACTTAGACTACTTCGATGATGTTTTGCAAATTGACACGAATCACACTGTAAAGATGACACCTTATTGAATTGAGGATAAAGCTTCTTTAACAACGGAAGAGAAGGGTGACCTAGGCGATAGTGAGCCTCTAACACAGTTCCAATGCCCAAGACAAGAGATTGATTTGGGTAAGGATGTATCCGAGAGATAGAGACCGGTCGACTCATATCCTTTACCAATAACCTGATTCATCAACAGATCCTGAAATACACAATATCCAGGAAAAAAGGTTACAGAACAATTAAGTTTACGTGTGATTTTGCTGATCGAAATCAAATTGAAAGCAAAATTTGGAAGACTTAGGACGGGTGACAAAGGTAAGGTAGATGTTGGGACAATTGTACCCGTACCAAGAACGGGTGACGTAGATTCGTCAGCCAAAGTCACACTAGAAGTATGAAGAGGTGTGTGGAATGAGGAAAAAAGACTAGGATTACCTGTCATATGATCTATTACTCCTGAATCGATAACCCATTTTGAGGATGAAGATACAAGACATGTGTTTGGATTACCTGAATTAGCTACAGCTGAGATAGGAGTAGATGAATGCTTTAGAGCCTCCTGGTAACCTAGGAATTTGGCATATTCCTCCGAAGACATAATGATGGATCCATTAGACGACTGTGTAGCGGAAGCAATGTGAGCGACTTGATTTCCCTGATTTTTGAACTTTAGCTTTCGACAATCTTTGATCAAGTGCCCGGGTTTCTTACAGTAGTTGCATACTACTCCTTTGCCAATCGGTCCTGTGCGGGGCCACTTCTCACCTCCATTGGGGAATGTTGGGACTTGCCCTACAAAAGCATTGCTTGGCTGAGGTGCTGATGATGTGGATGAAGTGTCAGTGCGAAGCACTCTACTGAAAGCATCTTGAAGAGAAGAGACCACATCAGTAGATAGGATATGTGATTTGGCTGTTTCAAAATCAGACGTAAGACCGGCCAAAAAGCTCATGACTGCCATGTGTTCGCGTTGTTTCTGCTGCACTTTGATATCAGGACTAAATGGCATTAAGGTATTAAGTTCTTCATACGTTTTCTTGAAATCCATAAAATAAGCTGTGAGAGGCTTATCTTTCATTTCTGCCCTGTAAAAGGCTTTGCACACCTCATAGATGTGGTTAAGATTACCTTTGCCAGAATACATAAATTCCAAATAATCAAAGAGTTCTTTCACAGTATCACAATGACTAACATACCCCATGACGTCATTCTCCATGGAGTTCTGAATCTGGATAAATAATCTAGAATCATCACGAAGCCAGACAGTATTAGCAGCTCTATCAATCTCCTCCTTTGGCGGGTCATCAACTAAGTGGGTGTATTTATCAATGCTTCGTAAATAACGTTTGATAGTTTTACTCCATTCAAGATAGTTAGAGCCATAAAGTTTATTCTCAGTAATTTTAAAATTAATGGGAATAACTTCGGAAACTACCAAAGGCTGAGCATGTTGTACGGTGGACGTGTCTGTATCAGAACCAGGCATTTTTTTTTGTTTTTTTTTTGACTTTTTTTTAATTGCAGAAATAAGATGTTATGTATTAAGTAAACTTACCGACCAAAATACTATCCTTGAATGTCGTCGTTACTTAATAAGCAGAGTCACACAAAGATAATACCGTTCAAGACACCTGAAAATAGTTCCGATGGATTCTCCGGCGATTGGGTCTGCGATTAGGTCTGTGAGGTCCTCTGACGGCGCGTGTGGCCTACGGATTTCAAGTGTAAGGGCGGCGGCGGAAGGCGTGACTGCTTAGGGTGGAGGTGATGCTCTGTGAAACTGTGGATTTTGGACTGAGGTTCTGAATTTTGGGCTAAGGTTCTGGCTGAGGCATGAACTGAGATTCTGAAAAATAATGCTAAGCTTAACTGGAACAGATTGCTCTGGTACCATGTTGAAAGAATTAAAGATAGAATAGTAATGAGAAGAATGATTTTTGTGTATCTTTCATTGGAGGGTCAAGCCCATATATATATACATTACAAAGATAGAACATTCCTTTAAGATTCTATACAATAATAATATCTTAGAGTATATTCCTAAAATATTCTAAAGCATATTATAAAGATAGAAGAATATTCTAAAACATATTCTAAAGAATATTCTATATTGTCTTTCACACCCCTCTTCTTGCCCGTGGCTGGAAGAGCGCAGGGAGGGGGGAGAGAGAAAGTCCGTGACTTGGAATAACTTTTCTATTCATCGATACCTTTATCATTGCTGAATGAAGAATATAAATAGGCACCATGCCTTTACATGATAGAGTTCTAATCTAACATAAACTGTAACCTCTAATACTTCTATTCCTAATAGGAAGTAATAAATTAAATATAAAAATAGCATCAGGATAAATCGCTATTCTTATTAAACTCTTCTAATTAAACTTCCCGTTGGTTCCATAAAAATGCATCCGTAACAGATACGTGTGAGGACTCTGTATTCCTATAGAATTTGAATGTTTTGTGTTTTACATCACACTTTATACGGTTCAGATTGGTCGGTTTGAATTAACATTATTTGTGGTCTCATAAATAATCTACGTTCTGCAAGTGACACTAGAGACAATAATCTACATTCTGGAACCAACCTTCAGTTAAAAGTCATGTTTAAATGAATCTTTTCATTGACGAGCTCCCTTTATCACCACTACCCACATGACATAATATATCTGCCCCTGTGATTTTGTCAACATTCCTTTTTGGTGTCCCAAAAAGTTTGTTGATCATATTCCTTTTAATTAATTTATTTATGGTTCTTATTGTTTTTCTTCTCTGCACAAACAACCACACAATTTTACTTCACTGTGTCACAAGTCGTCATGTCAGTCAAACTTGGCAAAGTTATAAGGGACCATAAGGGACCGATGGAGTAAGAAAGTGATTTTCAATCTTTTGTTAAATAATTGTTCCATATCCTATTGTCAGGGATGGCTTGTTTGCTCATTTGTGCTCAATAATATGATTGAAATGACAGGAAATGAAAAGAACGCCAATACATAGGCAATGTGCGATTTCAACGAATATGATTGAAATGTCACAAGCATGCTTTATGGCTTTGAGACTAAATACAACTTTTTGAATAAGGATTAGTTATCTTCCAAATGCAGTGTAGGTTCCATAGTTATATATAGCAGATAAACTTATGCAACAAAATTACAAATTGAGAAAAAGAATACCCACCCAGAATGGGGTCTTTTCCAGGGCAGACTACACTAATATTCAGATCTTTATAGTTTCCATAGTAACGCACCCAAGGTACTCCCTTTGGGAACCTGCAATATTTAGAGGAATGGAAAAGGGGAAAAGGAACAATCTTTAGGCTAGCAGACAATTTCTTCCCAATCAGTGGAATACTGGACAAGATTAACATATGCGTGGTAACGTGGACAATAAAACATGCGGCATCATTAATTAAATTTTACTAATTTAACACGCAGAGTTAGATTAGTATTTTACTAATCTAACACACGGTTGTTAGCTAGCAGAATACTGTGAGGAAAGAAAATGTACATGGAATCGACATCCTCGACGAGTTGGAACCTGTCCACGAGAGGTTGCGCCTCCTTATTCATAGCTGCACCATTCACTCCACAATCAGTCTCCAATCAAACGCTAATAACAGTCTCATTGTACAACTGCATACGCACAGGAGAAATTCGTGGAGATGAGGTATTACCAATGACGAAGACGATGGTCAAGATACGGTTTTTATCGCCCGGCGACGCGGCGGCGAGATCCGCCTTGGTTTCTCGACACTCGTGCTCAGGAGGCGCCATTTATTTGTGCTTCTTGCGGGCTGCGTGAAGCCCTGAAGGAAGTACCTGAACATATATTAAGTAGTTAAACCGGAGAAATCAGATCCATGATCAAACTTGCAAACACCTGACAATACATAGACATTAAGTAGTCAGTAAACAGACAATAATTTCGAATAATAACTCAATAACAGGCAATACATAGACAGTAAGGATAAAATTGGAAATTTAAAATCAAGTTTTCAAAATTAGACTAATTACGCGGCAATACATAAATTGTCAATACATAAATTGTCATGTTTTTTTTTCAAAATAGGACTAATTACTGCCATGTTTTGGCAGTACCAGACTTCAAACATGGCAGTATTTTCTAAAAATGGCAGTAATTAGTCCTATTTTGGGAATAAAAACATGACAGTCCTATTTTGGATTTTTAAAACTGTTTTAGTCCTATTTCGGGAACTTTCCCAATTTAAATTGGTATCATATGTTTTGCTTTTAAAATTGTAAATTTTTGGTCTTTATATATAAATTTATTTAAAATACTCAAAACATTTATAAAGATGTACTATGTATTTAGCATTAGATCGAATGAGATGTAGTATTATTTATTTCACAAGTGGAACTTTAGAATGTTAACTACATCACATCCTAACACAAGATTGGTGTATTTTCAATTATGTACTTATCACAATAAATTTATATTTAAGAAACAAATACATATTTCATGGTGCGAAAGTAACTTTTTATATAAAGTTCGGAATATGTATATTGCATGTGCAAGTTTGATATATTTATCTCATACCCCTTAAAAGTTTAAGGTAATTATATTATTTTTCCCTTCTTACAATTGTAGACCATTTATTTGTTTTTTACTACTCAATGTTTGAAAAAGAAATTGTTCTAAATAGAAACAAAATATCGTCAAAACTCATTGTTGGGATATTGACCTAGAGGCCCAATACCCAGATCGGGAAGGCCCAAGGCATCCGGCCCAAGTAACAGGCCCATCACTCCATGATGAAAAGGTCCAGTAAGGAGACATACCGAACGGGGTTCGGCCCAAATAAAGGTTGGCCCAATAAGAAAACATACCGAACGAGGTTCGGGCTATATATCATACTTGGGCCAATTTGACAGCATCTTCAGTACGGACCAACATCCCGTTCGAACAACGGCCAACCAGCAAGTGGCCAGGTGCAGTTAATGCCAGACTATGACATCAGCAAGTGGAAGCATGGATGACCAAGTCGGTGGAACAACGGCCAATCAGCAAGAGGCAGCCCATGCTCTCCATTAGTATAAATAGAAGGTTTCAAGTCATTGTAAGGGTTAGATTTTCGATACTCAAGCTCTAGAATAGCATCATTTGCTCTTATTTCTTGTATTAAAGCATAGTTTCCGACTTACTGATCGGGAAATCTTTTTGTAATCAGATTGGTTAATTAATACAAGTGGGTTTTCGAGTTCTAGTTAATTCAGATTTTATATTTTCTCACACACTTTGATTCTGGGCCATTCCTGATATATCCAAAGTTCGTGTTGGGCTTTCGGATCTACGGGACTTACCCTCAACATTGGCGCCGTCTGTGGGAAACTTGCAAAAAGTTTCACTTTCTAAAACATCCAAAAAACCTCTATTTTTAAAAATGGTCAGAATCAATTCCTATCATACAAACGACGGTTCACACCGTCACGGGAGGAGTCACACCCCGGGGAGTCAAAACCCCCAGGGACAATCCAGTCGAGGATCCTATCCTCGCGTTAATGGGGATTTTGTGGTTCTAGAATCTCTGAGGAGAAATCCCCAGGCCATGCGTGACATGGCCCAATTCATGCAGCACATGGCAAACGAAGAAGAAGGAGGTTCCAGCTTTACAGGAGAAACTCCACGCGCGGAAACGACCACAGCGTCATCCCGCTCACATACCCATCGGGATAATCGACGTAGCGCCCCACCAGCAGCGCATCCCAGTCCCAGTGACCGAACCCCGGTCGGGTCGCAAGCTAGAGGACCAACTCCCGTCGGTCATCATTTCCAACATGCCGAGTGGGAAGATACTAGGGCCCCTCAGCGGCATTGGGACCGGGACTGTGCGGATATGAGGGTTCCACCACCGCCCCCTCTGACGGCCCAGGAGGAAGAGATGGTCGAGATGAGGAGACAAATGAATGAAATGCGGGACTAGATGAACAGGGTACCTGCACAACCTGCACCAGTCCAACTGGGGATTACTTCCCCGTTTACAAGGGAGCTCAAGTACGCGGATATCCAAGGGGGTGCCAAGACCCCGATCGGCCAAATATATGATGGGGTGGGAGATCCCCACGTACATCTGAGGAGTTACCAAGGCGGACTTATGCTGCTAGGAGCACCCGAGGCTGCCATTTGCCGTTTGTTTTTCAGCACGCTCAGGGGGCCTGCCCAGGAATGGTTCGGGACACTACAGCCCGGGTCAATCAATAGCTTTACCGAGTTATCAACGTTATTCTTGGCTCAATTTGCTTCCAGTGCCAATCCCAAACGGCACTTCAGCTATCTGACCAGCGTGAAGCAAAACGCCAAGGAGACCCTCAACCAATTCCTGAAAAGGTGGAGGGATGAAACTTTAACAGTGGGAAGCATGACGGATGATACCGCCATCACCCTGTTCACGAATGCTCTCCGAACGGGGGAGTTGTACAAAGAATTGAAGAAGAATCCGGGCACGGCGTACGCCGAAGTATTAGATAGGGCGCGCAAGCATGCCGCCCTAGAAGAAGAAATAATGATCAGGGATAAGGTCATTACGCCTGTTGCCCCGATCAGACTGGCTGATCGGCTGGGTCCTAGCCCAGCGGCCACTTTACCTCCCAAACAAGGGAGATTTACACCCCTGGTCCTATCAATAGCGGCCATCTATCAGAACGAGAGGGACAATATTCCCATCCCGACTGATTCTGGACAGTTCATGGGAACGGATGACAATGCTTTCTGTAAATATCACAACAGAAAGGGTCATGCCACCAATGCCTGCAGGGCCCTGCAAACAGCAATTGAGGATCTGATCCGAAGGGGCCATCTGGGCAAATATGTGAACAAAGATCCGAATGCAATGGGCACGTTAAAACCGGCCAGGAAACCTAACAGCTGGCGCCGGGATGCTCAACGTGACGCCCAGCCTCAGAATGATGTGTATGTTCCTCCCAGAGATGAGCCAGAGGGCTCGGGAGGCCCCGGAAAGAAGCCTCGAATGGAGGTCAAGGTCATATTTGGGGGCGGAGAGACCGGAGATTCGAACGCCGAACGGAAAAGGTTCGAGCGGAGTCTTTATGTGGGGTCCGTCTCCGCTCCCCCCCAGAAGAAAGGAAGGACAGACCCGATCACGTTCGGGCCAGCTGATCTACCCAACTCTCCAAGCCCCCACAGGGATGAACTGGTAGTAAGCATGTGTATTGACAATGCTTTAATCCGCCGAGTGCTGGTCGATACTGGGAGCAGTGTGAATGTATTGTATCTACAATCATTCGAGAAAATGGGTATGCAAAGGAGCAACCTGACCCACCTGCGGACTCCACTGGCGAGTTTTACCGGTAACTGCATCGAGGCGGAAGGGACCATCCAATTGATGGTTGAAATTGGAGATGAAACCCACAGAGCGTCACTCCGAATGACGTTCGTGGTGGTAGACATAAAGTGCGCCCATAATGCCATTTTGGGCCGACCGGGATTGGAAGATCTGGAGGCAATAGCCTCTGTCCGCCACTCATGCATCAAATTCCCCACAGACACTGGGGTAGGGGTAACCAGAACTGACCCAACAACAGCCCGGACATGTTATCGGGAGGCCCTGAAATAGATGAACACTCGTGGGATGCGGGTGAATACAATTGAGGTGGAAAACCACCAAACGGAGTTCGAGGCACATCCGGAGCCCGCCACCCTTCTTGAACAAATCGACCTCGACTTTCCCCCGAACCGTAAGGTCGTTATCGGGGTAGATCTGGAGGCAGATATCCGGGATGGCGTGATTGCCGTCCTCAAAAAGTTTCAGGTGCTATTTGCCCGGGGGCCAGAAGATATGCCCGGCATTGATCCAGAAATAATATGCCACAAACTTGCCGTTCGGTCTGATGCAAAACCGGTCCAACAGAAGAAACGATACCAAGCGACCGAACGACGGGAATTCACCAAGAAGGAAGTGGCCACTTTGCTAAGGATAAAGCATATCCGTCCGGTAATCCACGTAGAATGGCTATCCAATGTGGTTCTAGCCCCAAAGCAATCTACCTGGAGAATGTGCGTGGATTACTCCGATCTCAATAAAGCATGCCCCATGGATCCCTACCCAGTACCGAGGATCGATCTGCTAGTGGATGAGATTGCTGGGTGCGAGTTACTGAGCTTCATGGATGCTTTCCGGGGTTATCATCAGATATTCATGCACCCGGCCGATGCAGAGAAAACGGCGTTTGTTACTTCGGATGGCGTGTTCTGCTACATCGTCATGCCATTCGGATTAAAGAACGCGATGGCAACCTTCCAGAGGATGATCGGGATGCTGTTTAAAGATGTACTGGGTGTCACAATGGAAGTCTACGTTGATGACATCCTGATCAAGAGCAAAAAGAAGGAAAACCATGTCCTGGACATAGAAAAGGTGTTCGGGATAATGCAAAGGGCGAATATGAGGCTCAATCCCAAGAAATGCGCGTTTGCTGTGAGAGGAGGCAAATTTTTGGGGTACATGATGAGCGAGAAGGGGATTGAGCCCAATCCAGAAAAAGTAAAGGCCATTGTGGACATGGAGCCCCCGACGAATCTCAAGGAAGTACAGAGATTGACCGGTCGGCTAGCAGCCCTGAGCAGATTCCTATCAAAACTGGCCGATCGAGCTATCCCGTTTTTCCAAATCATGAAGAAAGCCAACCCTTTCGAGTGGACGGCCGAATGCCAAACGGCCTTTGAGGATTTCAAGACATATCTGTCTTCCCCTCTGGTCTTGACAAAGCCCGAACCAGGGGAACATCTGTATATGTACCTGGCTGTAGCCGACTTGGCCGTAAGCAAGTTCTGTTGAAAGAAGAAGATGGCGTTCAACGGCCAATCTATTTTGTGAGCAAG